TACAGCGTTAATTTCTGTATGGGGGCAGGAGATTGGCTTGAGCCTTTGGAGGACGAGCAGATGGAAATGAGACACATGTATAACGTTCAGCAGGGTCTCACTCTCCATGAGGGGGGCACTGGCTTAGGGGAACTATAAGGCAGGTGACTTTTGCCTAGACCCCTGGGTTGAAGAAAAGAAGTCTCCCATAAGAAATCAAAGCTCAAAGTCCCAATCCTGCAGTGCACAGGGGATTGAAAATCCGGATCTTATTACTCACGTGGCACAGGATTCTGCAAGCTGAGGAGCGACGATGAAGCTGGTCTGGAATCAGTGATCTCTCTGTGATGCCTCGGAAAGCAGGTGCACGGACATGACCCTTGCACAGGACAGGTGCACCATGGGAGAAGTAAGCTGGGCTGGAGAGGGCCTCCCTCAAAGTGATAATAATAAAAGCCACATATTTGAACATTTTAAACCTGAGAATTATCAAATCTGTAAGACTGAATGACAGTAAAAATGTTCTGGGGGCTCCTGGGTAGTTAAGCGTCTGACTCTTGGTTTTAGCTCAGGTCATGATCTTATGGTTGTGAGACTGAGCCCCACATCAGGCTCTGTGCTGAGCATGGAGTCTGCTTAATATTCTCTCTTCCTCCCTCCCTCCCTCTCTCTCTCTCTCTCTCTCTCTTGCTTTCTTCTTCTTCTTCTTCTTCCTCTTCCTCTTCCTCCTCCTCCCCTTCTTCTTCTTCCTCTTCCTCTTCCTCCTCCTCCCCTTTTTCTTCTTCTTCTTCCTCTTCTCCTTCTTCTTCTTCTTCTTCCTCCTTCCTCCTTCTCCTCCTCCTCCTCCTTCTTCTCTCTCCCTCTGCCCCTCCCCTGCTCATGAACTCCCTCCCTTCCTCTCTCTCTCTCTCTCAAAAAAAAAAAAAATGTTCTCATTGAAAACCTGTGGGGTGCAGCAAAAGGGATATGTAGACAGTTTTATAGCCTTAAGTGCATATATTAGGAAAGAATAAATATTAAAGATAAGTGTGCTTTAGGGGCACCTGGGTGGTCAGTCAGTTGAGTGTCCAGCTCTTATTTCAGCTCAGATCATGATCTTATGGTTCATGAGTTCAAGCCACATGTCGGGCTCTGCTGACAGTGTGGAGCCTGCTTGGACTTTTCTCTCTCTCTCCCTCTGCCCCTCTCCTGTTCACGTGCTCACTCACTCCCTCTCTCTCAACAATAAATAAGTAAACATTAAAAATTATTAAAAGTAAGTGTGTTTTACTTTTTTTAAGTTAGGAAAAAACTGTATAGAGAAAACCCTAAAGACTACAAAAAAAAAACCTACTAGAATTGCTAAATGAATGCAGTAAAGTTGCAGGATACAAAATTATATACAGAAATTTATTGCGTTTCTACACAGTAGTAATGAAGTAGCAGGATGAGAAATTAACAAACAATCCCATTTACAGTTGTACCAAAAATAATAAAATATCTAAGAATAAACGTAACCAAGGAGGTGATAACTTCAAAGCACTGATGAAAGAAATTGAAGGCAACACAAATGCAAAAATATTCCATGCTCATGGATTGGAAGAATCAATATTGTTAAAATGTCCATACTACCCAAAGAAATCTACAGGTCTAATGCAATTCCTATCAAAATACCAGCAACAGTTTTCACAGAACTGGAACAAATGATCCTAAAATTTTTATGGAACCACAGAAGACCCCAAATAGCCGAAGTACTCTTGTAAAGCTAGAGGTATCACAATTGTAGATTAAGGCAAAGCTGTGGTATTGAAAACAGTGTGGTATTGGCACAAAAGTAGACCCGTAGATCAGTGGAACAGACGAGAAATCCAGAAATAAGCCCACTCTTATATGGTCTATTAATCTACAACCAAGGAGGCAAAGAATAGGCAGTGCAGAAAAGACAGTATCTTCAATAAGTGGTGCTGGGAAAACTGGACAGCTACATGCGAAAGAATGAAACTGTACCACTGTCTCATGCTAATACAAAAATAAACTCGAAATGGATTAAAGATCTAAATGTGAGACCTGGAATCACAAAATTCTTAGAAGAGAGCACAAGCAATAATTCCTTTGATACTAGCCATGGAAACATTTCTCTAAATATGCCACCGTAGGCAGTGGAGCCAAAAAGATGAGACTGCATCAAAACAAAAAGCTTCTGCACAGCAAAGGAAATCGTCAGTAAAACAAAAAGGCAACCTACACAATTGAGAGAAGGCATTTACAAATGGTAGATATAGCCAATAAGGGGTTAATACCCAAACTCCAGAAAGAAGTTAAGAACACAACACTCCCCAAAACAAATAATCCAAAATCGATTTCTGCATGTAAAAATGGGCGGAAGCCTGAGTAGACATTTTTCCAAAGAAAGCACACGCATGGCCAACAGACACACAAAAAGATGCTCAACATCACTAATCATCAAGGAAATGCAAATCAAAACCATGAGGTCTCACCTTACACCTGCCCAAATGGCTGGAATCAAAAAGGCAAGAAATAAGTGTCGGTGAGGATGTGGAGAAAAAGGAACCCTCATGCGCTGTTGGTGGGAATGCAAACTGGTGCAGCCACTGTGGAAAACAGTATAAAGCTTCCTCAAAAACTTAAAAATAGAAATACCCCACGTCCCACTGATCCCACTACTGGGTATTTACCCCAAGAAAACAAAAACACTACTTTGAAAAGATAGATGCACCCTTCTGTTTTTTGCAGCATTATTTATAAAAGCCAAGATATGGAAGCAGCCCAGGTGTCTATTGATAGATGAATGGATAAAGAAGATGTGGTATATACACACAATGGAATATTACTCAGCCGTAAAAAGAATGAGATCTTGCCATTTGCGACGACATAGATGGATCTAGAAAGTGGAATGGTGAATGAAGTAAGTCAGTCAGAAAAACAAATACCATATGATTTCACTTATATGTAGAATTTAAGACACAAACAAAGGAAAAAGAGAAACAAAACATAGACTCTTAACTATAGTGAACAAACTGATGATTACCAGAAGGAAGGGGGGGATGGATGAAATGGGTGAAGGAGATTAAGAGCACACTTATCATGATGAGCAGTGAGTAATGTACATGAATCGCTATATTGTACACCTGAAGCTAACATAATATTGTATTTTAATTGTACTTCAATAAAGAAAAGAATAGAGCAAACTCAAAACCAGTAGAAGGGAGAAGTAATAAAGGTAAGACTAGACTTTATTGCAGTAGAAAATCAATAAGGAACATCGACAACCAAATGCTAGTCCTCCATTTAAATTAATAAAATAAATAAACCTCACAGCTTACTGATCAAAGGGCAGCAGAGCTTAGGGCCAGATAAACAATGTTCGGAAAGAAAAGGAGACATGATTACAAATACAGCGGAAGTCTTAAAGTTGTGAGAGAAATCTGTGAACCACTTTATGCCAACATTCTTGAAAATCTAAACAAAAGAGATGGTTTCCTAGACTTCAAGATCAAAACAGTGTATATAATATTTCAAGACAAGAAGGCAGAGGAGGGAGAGAGAGGCAACAGGAGGAGAGGGGGCTGGGGAGAAGAGGAAGGAGAAGGGAGAGACGGTGGCCAACCTAAAGACGGCTCCGAGTAGTAGAATACAGGTAATTCTGGTATTCTTCCTTTCTGCTTACCTGTGTCCTGGTTAATTTACTGCCACCTCTCATGTGTCAGGCAAGGGCCCGCAGCCATTGTTCACCATTTAGGCCAGGGATTTTGAGAATTTGCTTCGGGTCAGGTGGGCCATGGAAGTCACAGGAGGAAGCCGGGCTCTGCACAGATGGACAGCATCGTGGCTGGTGGTGGGCCTGGGGAGGGAGCCTGGAGGCCAAGACGGTTGAGGACGTGAACCCCATCTTCCCAGTGGCTTCTCCACCCACCAGGGTAAACCAGGGAGATAACGCCTTGATATCGTTAACCTAATTCCATCACTAAACACCCTTTTTCCCAAATCAGGAAGCATTTCAAGCTATGGTGGTGAGAGCATGGACATACCTTTTTGGGGCCACCATTCAGCCCACTGTGGGGGCTATTTGACTGACAAGTTTAACTATAGAAAAATGAAGTACTTCTAAACGATGAAAGATACCATATGGCACGTGGAAAAGACGAGTGAAAGATGAGAAGTATTTGCCACACACGTCATAGATTTCTCTGGAATGCACAATCACGGATGAGGCGGGGGTTGGAAAAATTAGGTATTTTGCTCTTACTGTTTGTGGTATCCATTTTTGTAGCAGGGAAACAGCTCAAATTTGCCAGCTCAGGGTACCTTGGTTACTTCGTCAGTTTTTCCCTAGGTAACCCGGCCAGTTTGGGGGCATCCGTGCCCCTCAGGGTTTCTCCTTCCTTCTCCCGGACTGTAGAGAGAAACGCACGCAGTGTGGTGTTTGGCATTAATACGGCTGGCTGTGTGCCCAGTATGACCGTTTGCTCTTTGGAAGAAAGGATTGTCTTTGATCCGGTTCTGAATCAGCAGTGCTTGGGATTTGCCCATCACCCAGAGAATCTTTATTGACTTACATTGATTTGAAAGCTTTTAAAATCCCTGGGTGCTTTCGTTTCCGGGGAGGTTAAATAGGACCAGGGCTGCATTTATCACATTCCCAGCAGGGCTGTTGTGAGGATTAATGTTTTAGCACAGATGATCTCCTGCTCCTTTAAAAAGGCATTAATTAAGTTAAAGGTTTTCGTTTTCAAGGATGTGCTTCGTTTTATAATAATTTGTATCTCAATCTATTGTCTGAAATATACATAATAAGGCTCCTACCCCTTCTCGTGGAAAACATGGCACACAGAAGTGCCCAGAAATTAATCCACCAGTAGGGCTCCTCTCTGGGTAGCATGTCAAGCGATTGGTCTTTGGAGTTCATCGTTGCGAGGGGAGATCGGCCGTGGTGGCGGGGCCTGTGGGAGGCCCGGGTGGGTGCTTTTGGGAGAGGGCGTCCTGACCGATGTGCTGTTTCTCTTCTCCTCCCACTTGCGCAGCGAGATGAAGCAGAAGCTGGCGGAGGAAGGCAGCAAGTGCAGCATCCTCTCGAAGCACCAGAAGTTCGTGGACCACTGCTGCATGCGCTGCTGCTCGCCCTTCACCTTCCTGGTCAACACCAAGCGCAGGTGTGCCGACTGTAAGTTCAACATCTGCAAGAGCTGCTGCTCCTTCCAGAAGCACGAGAAGGTGTGGATCTGCTGCGTCTGCCAGCAGGCCAGGTGAGTGGCCGAGTGGACTCTTCCGGGGTCCGCTGGTGGCACTGCCTTCTTCAGCCAGGTAGGAGCAGCCGCGGCCGGCTGGTCAGTACAGTCCTGACCACACATGGTCAAGAGATCACCGAGGTGTGCGGGACACCGCGTGTCCTTCAGGGACACAGGAGAACGAGGGAGCGCGACGCTTGTGTGGTCTCAACCTTTCATTCATTCATTGCACCAACGCGTGCTGGACTCTTAGGAATCATGCTGGGCGCGGGAACGGACGGTGGGTCAGGCAAATGGCTGAGGGGGCCGGTGAACGCAGGAGTGTGGGTCCTAGTGTGCGGTGCTACAGGACTGACCCGTCCCCCGTTCGGCTGCGGGGGCACCGAGCGAGGATCTGCTAACTCTAGGGTTTGGAGAGAGCTTCCCAGAAAGCAAGAATTCAAGGCAGGATGGTAAAAGAGGAAAAAGCATTAGTCACGTGAAAGGAGGGTGGGGATGAGGGTCTCCATGTGAAGGAAATGGCTGGTGTGGAGTCTCATGGACACACAGATTTTTATTCTCCCTCAGGGTATCTTCGATACATTGAGTATTGGGAAACTGAGAAGTCTGATAAGCCAGTGTCTGGTGTTTGTGCTTTGGAATTCTTCAGTCTTTGCTGGTCCCAGCACCTGCAAAGCCCATTCGTATCCATTGCCTCCATCATAATGCCTCGCTGTGAGCAAGATGGAGGCTGGCCCGTCCCACGAACACACACAGGAGCACCTGCCTCCTGCCCCTCTTCCTTCTTTCCTCCTGCGTCGTTAGTTCACTTACATCCTGTAACATACCAAGTCCCAGCATTTTCCCGTAAAGCTAGTTGATGGGGATGACTGCTAAGCGCCCTTGGGATCCCCAGGAAATCCGCATCTGAGCTCTAAAGAGATACTAGAGATACCAACCGAAGCAAATGTGGTCTGTTGAGCACTCATGATCCAGGGCGGGGTGCTGGCCAGGTTCTGCATTTGACTTTCAGAGCAAGGAATCCATCCAAGTCTCCGTATAGCAGCTCCTTGGTAGGAGGAGGAGAAGCGTTGTGGCAAGAAAGAGAAGGAGACTTAATTGTCAGTGAACCTCTGCTTGGGAGGGGAGGATGCAAAGAGATGCATTCTGTGTCTTCCTTTCTCAGTGAAGTTGGGTTAAGGTCAAGTGCTGGTAACAGGAGAGGTGGATGTTGGAAGAGATTGTGTGCAATGGACATTAGAGAAGTTGGAGACCCAGGCTTTGGAGCTGGGCTCTAATCACCGATTTGTGCCCTTCCAATCATCTCGTTGCGTGTTTTGCTCCAGCCCTGCTCAACCTCACATATGTAGACATGAGGAAAATACACGGTCGGGCTCTTCCTGGATTGGGCAGGTGTGGGGGGGTTGGGACTTCAGGGCTTTGGGACAGATGCAGGGATAAGGGGTTTAAGATATTTAAAATGTAGAAATTAAAATTATAGACCAACCTGGTTAGTGAAGGAAGGAAAGACAGAAAGGAGCTTCAATGGTGGGAAGAAAATGAAGAGGTCCGTCAGCTAGGAGTACGTGGTGAAGGTGAAGAACTGTGGCCATGGGGGTATTTAGCAAAGGAAATTTTGTGTAGGGGAAAAGATATTTGAATTAGTGGCTTCCTAAGTGGATCCATTGGATGGTGAACATGGCCATAGGGGCTTGAGGTCTAGCTGAGGAAGCCGTGGGACTAAAAGGCAAGTGCACGTGGGTCCAAAGCGGCCAGGTTGATGGCAGAAGTATGGAGGTGATCCACGTGACGCAATCTTCTTGAGTGAGGAGGAGGAACGAGCAGGCCAGGAGGTGATGGCAATAAGGAGTGGAAGAGTGTGGTGTGGCCCAACGTCACAACTGTGCACCCAGCAAGCCGGGTGGGTCTTACACGGCATTGGACCCAGACATCTGCCAGGGCACCACTGTGCTGCTCGCATGTTAGTAACAGACCTTCGGCCCCACTGGGAGCACAGAGCCCGGCATGTAGAAGGCACACATATCTTTGTGGGCCGAGTAACAGAACAGGACAGTGTTCCCAAACAGTCAAGTGCATGATACAAATGAGGCTTCAGGAATTTTAAAGAGAAGGGACCAGAGAGTTCTGGGGCATTCTTTTTCTGGAAAACAAGGGGCCCAAGATGGTACTCACATGGGGACGAGGAATCACAGGGCGTTCTTGGCCAGGGTGTCCCATGAGCAAAAGAGATCCCACGAGGGGTGGAGAGGGCCCGGAACAGACCACTCTTGGCGGTGGCGTGCAGAGTTAGGTCAGCTTAGGTGAAGAGTTCAGGTTTGATCCCCCGGAGGTTGTGGCATCGTTGAAATTCAAATCATCGAGACTCTAGCAGTCATCAAAGGATGCTGTTCTTCACTGTCCTTCAGTGTATTACCACCCCCAGACAGAAGGAAATGAGTTCCTGCACGATCTTGTTTCTTTTCCATTTTCCTCTTTTCCTCTTCTCGGTGGATCAGAAGACTCTCCAAATTTACTAAACAGCTGATAGCAATCAAACACGCAATCACAGCCTTTCAACCCCACATGCACCCGAGTTGTGTGTACGGGTCTGTTACTGGTTCCAGTTGAATGGCGCATTGCTTTCACCAATCAGCAGTCATGCTGAGTGAGTAGTATGCTACCTCGGATCATACGACTTATAAATGGAAGGACCTTGCCTCCAGAGCCAGCCTTCTGATTGAATGCTGTGCTGTTTCATTTATACCAGGTTGTCTCAAGGAAGAGTAAGATATTGAAAAATAAGCCATAAATGGGCAGCAAATGGTTCATAAGCCTATAGTTTAAATTTCCATTTTACATTTCTAGCCACCTGATGAGAAGGCGGGAGGCTCAGGGGACCCCAGTCTTGCATCATTTTCTTGTCAGCATTGCATGGCTACTCCCTGAGTCTCAAAAGAAGACCATCAGAAGATAAAGAACCATTTGTAGAAGGATACCTCAAAAGATATCCAAAAAACTAATGTAAATTTGCTCCATTAGCTTTTTAAAGAAGGAAGGGGTTACTGAGAAGTCCCCCACATTCAGTGTGTGTCTAGCGTAGACAGAGCACACCCACGCTCATTTAATCAAAGTTGGCAGGAAGAGGGTCCTGAGGAGAAGGTGGGAATTTTGCTATTTTAATCTTGTATGATGTCATCTGGGGACATTTCTGGGAGTCTTACGATTGTAATAATATTGTCTGAAATCAGAAGAGATGAAAAAGTGGAGCTTGTTCCATTTTATTCAAGTTCATCCTAGGAACCTGTCTAGGGAAAAAAAAAATCCATGATACATGTGGCAGACTTTTGCTTCTAGAAATTTCTCTAAGGCCCAATGTGTTAGAGATGTCTGGGTCAGAGCACCTCAGATGTATGACCTATGAGCTGACAGTCTTTTTTATAATCTGAAGGATGGTTCAGAAGAGTTTATTTTACTGATGGACTCACAGGACTCACAAGCCGTGTGACTCCTCACCAACGGACACAGCCAGCCAGATTCCTCATGGGAGGCATTTAAGGGTGACTGTGGCTTGAAGTTCTCTCATTAGTAACAGCTTTTAAAGCCTGTCCATTTTCTTGAAACAGGGAAATAAAAATAGTTTACAAGAGATTTGCTGAGACTTCAAATCCAGATTTTACCTGGCAGAAGCTGGTGTCTGGCCGGGGGATGGCACTGAGGGCACCGTGCCTCCCTCCATGTTGTTCGTTGGCTTCTCTGCTCCTAATGCAGTCTGAACTTTACCTCTTGGTTTAGAAGTGATTTATTTTATTTTGGATATTCTTCCAGTAGATTCGTAGTCAAGCAGTTAGATGTTTTAAAACCAAAACCACTGTCATGTCAGAATCTATGAACACATTGTGTGTGTGTGTGCGCGCGCGCGCGTAATCTCAGCAAAATGGTTGATAGCAGCTCTGTGACATTGCAGAGGGGACCACTTTTGCGAGGCCACATTTAGACCCATAATTCACTGCCCACTGGCCGTGACGTGCTTTTCCCTTCCTGTGTAAATTAATCCCATTTTTGCTGCATTGGTTTAATTTCGAGCTGTTTATCCAGCGGCTACCATATGCATATGGACCCATGAATGATTCTAATAATATGAATTCTGGTCCACAAAACATTAAAGAGCTAGGGATCTAGGGTAGACATTCACGCAAAAAATTAACAAATTGCATCAGAAATAAATGACTGTGTCGGGCACCTGAGCCTGTCTGCGGTGTTGGATTAGAAATGTAGGGTGCATCAGGGAGGTCGCAGATCGTGTCTAGGCTTGGTAAGAATGGCGGAATCTGTCAATTCGGCTTTCTTCTTTTTTGTCTCATGTCCTAGTGTCCTGTTTGGTTATTTATTACAGTAAAAATATTTTAATTTCAAATGAAAATTCCCTTCTAATGGTCATTGCTGTAATTATGATCAGCTGGTTAGCTCATCGTCAGTTCTTTTGCTCCATATGTCTTGCATTAAAATCCATTTTTGTTGTCAGTTTAGAATTTTTAACTTTGGGAAATTAACAAACATTAGATGAATTTACTGTAGAATGAATGATGGATTGATTACTTGTTTGGGAGCTTATAGAGCCAGTGGGATACTACTGAATCATTCCCTCTGTCATCTGTAAATGTAAATTTACCTTCTCAACAACTTCTTGTGTCGATTTATCCAAACGCTAAAAGTAAGGATGTCTAGTAGTTGCATTTTCAGAACTTCTGGAGGAAACAAAACTTTCAGAGTGAGCCCAGACCTCACTTACCAGCCATTGTCATTTGCGGTCATATTGATTCAAGAACAACACTCTTATTTTCCTTGGGAACAAATTGGCTTCTTAGTTCTTTGCTTCATTATAAAAATTGTTCTTTCTGATTTTTGTCACTTTGTGCTATTATCTTTAACACAGATAATTTTGGGAGACTATTGTAAGGGAATAAGAAAAAAAATTATCCTTGGAATTGAAATCAAAACACATCTCCTCATTATGCCTGTGTCATTTGTTTTGGTTTTTC